AAATTAAATAAAAAATCTTTTTAATCTACTTTATTCTTTTCAAACCAAAAAGTAAGATGAGAGTTTCCTAACTCATACCTTATGTTAAATTCATATAATAAGGAATATAGTGACAAACACGCGAGACTTTCACTAAACCCTTGCTGCGTCAACATCGTGTGTCCGATCTTGCATTTCTGATATACAGGGCAACTTTTTAATATTATTTTTTATATAACTTTCACGTGTCGTTAAAATCACGGAATGTATTTAATATCATGAGTTTTATATAAATTAAAAAAATTAATTATTTTAATAATAAATAAAATTATAAAATAAAATAATTATACAAAAGTTATTTTCCTTTGTGATGTAGCCACAAGCAGATTTTTCCTGGTTTGATGTTTACATAATTTGAACATATGACGCAGAATGTTGCCCCGTCGAAGACTTGAAAGGGTATTCATAGCCACATCTCATGTGAGTTGAGTCAACCATATAAGCCCATCTCATAAATAAAAATAATATCACAGAAGGCCTATGGACCATGGCCATGGACGTCATTTACCACAGAAGGATTAGGCCCATTGTGCATAAATTTGGGGATTTGGTCCGATAAATCTCAATTTCTTGAGGTCATCGTTAGTGATTATTACCTGTACTAAATGTTGATTTAGAACTTCCTACCCAAAGGCAGGCCCAATTAGACATCTCATTCTTGCATTAATCAAGGCTGAAATGAAAGAGATTGCAACCTGGATATGGGACCTGTTTGGCTGTTCTAAGCTACCAATTAATTTATTTGATACTTCAGGATTTGGTTTGCCAAACTCCTAGCTAAAAAGCTAAGAGTTTTAATTGAATTAATTTACAGGTTACAATATTTGTAGACCAAAATCTCACAAAGCAAATCATAACCTCTTCCACTCTTCATCACAACTTGTAAAGAAGAGGGGAAGAGGCAGTATTGTGGCAAGAATGCTACTTCCTCTAGTTAGATTTCGTTGTCTCAATTTGACTTATATATAAAGTTTGATAAAATGATTTTATATAATAAACAAATGACAATTGAAAATTTTCTTTTATACATGGTACTTGGTGAGTATTTTCATTTAGATAAAAGAAATTTTTAATTATCACTCATTTATTATATAAAATCATTCAATCAAATTGGACAACTAAATCAAACAAGAGGGAGTATTAAGTTAAGAATAAATAACCCCTTTTTTTTTTACTAATAAGAACTTGACTTGGTTAATACTCACTAATTTAAAAACTTTAGTTTGAAGTTAAGATTAAATATTTAAAGTTTTGTACTATTAAATAGGTAACTCTATGATGCACCATAAAAATAACTTTGTTTTTAAATTATGAAAGAAGTAAGGGTTTGTCTAACCTAGCAAAGGCAAGAGTTAAATTACAAAAATTGATCTTATTTTTATCACTAATGCCACATGGAAGCTTTCAATTATACAATTAATAAAAATTAAAGTTAACTTTTAATTTTATAATATCAATTAATTACATAAATATGTAATCACTATTAAAAACAGACTTTTAATAATGTGGACACACAACAGTGGAAAGATAAATATGTTGCTAAAAATAGTGCAATATTATGTCATACGTTGGTAATTGTCTTATTGGGGAGGAAAATACATACTCCATAGTCCATACACATCTATGTTCTAATTTTTTTACTAGAAAATTATTTTCTTTCTTTAATATTTGTAGTTCCATTGCAAGATAGATATTAATTAGTTTAATACTAAAAAATGACTGAATTAAAGGGGTTCAAAGGAAACCTCTCTTTCCTAATTATAGTTCTATTATATGGTATATTTGATTTGAGGAAAGTAAAGGAAAAAGGTGAAAATTCTTTTATTTAACTAGTAAAAATTTTGAATGAAAGAGGAAAAAAGTATTTTACTTTATTTTTTCAAACAAAGAGAAGGAAATGAAAATATATATATATTATATTTTTCTATTTTCTTTTCTTCTTCTTTCTTTTATTTCATTCAAACTAAATACTATAAAATTCTTATATAAGCAAAGAAATGCCAACAAAATTTCCTCTTTCCCATTGAAGAGAGAGGAGAAAAAAATAAAATAAAATAAAAAATGAAAACTTATCCTCTGGACCACTCGTGCGAACCCGTTTTTGTTAGGGATTCCATAGATTGTCTGCAAGTAAGACAACATATTTGAAGTTCAAACGGCGGCTAAGTTGCATGTTTCTCGGCCTCTCGCTCTCATCATTTTGCTTACTAATTGATTAGCCGAAAAAAAGGAGAGGGTCATTTTTAATTGAAGCTTGCTCTATCATCATTCCTCAACGACCATACCATACCCCTCGTTCGTTCACATTAGAGAAGTATATATCCAGTACAATAAAAAATGTTACACCTCAAAAATCTGTGCATTTTATACTGACTTAGAGCCATCTTTACATCTCTAATTAACAAATATTAGAGTGCATGAGATGCAGAGATTTTTTATAAATTTTTGTTTAATGTGTACATTAAAAGTTATCTATTTGATATTGTAAAGATTAATTTAAGATGTCACAACCATACCAATCCATAGATTGATGTATGCCTGTTAACCATGCATGTTGCTCTCTAAATGATACATTTGTTGTTGTTGGTATTAACTCTTACGTATTTGATAGTTACTTTAAATTTTGATTAATTTAAAATCGAACTATATCAGACCCATAAAAATAGGAAGCTTTTCCAATACCTAATTCTTTATTTATAAAATTTAAATTCGATATCTTATTTAAGAAGAATCATGTTTATTTCATTCAAATCAACAAATTATTGATTAAATAATACATTTGTTGTTTTTGGTATTAACTCTTAGCTATTTGATAGTTATATTAAATTTTAATTAATTTAAAATCAAACTATATTAAACCCATAAAAATAGAAAGCTCTTCTAATACTTAATTTTTTATTTATAAAACTTAAACTCGATATCTTATTTAAGAAGAATCATGTTTATTTCATTCAAATCAATAAATTATTAATTAAATAATACGTTTGTTAGTGCAATAACTAATTAATTAGATATTGTGGACAGGCTTATCTATCTGATTATGACATCAGTTTGATATTCAAACTAACACAATTCAACTGGCCTTTTCTTTTTAGGTCAATTATTAATGGCGTGTGAGAATCTAGCTCACTTCTTCCTTCTATAATTAGGATGAATAACTGATAATTGCTCGGACATTGATTAATACTTTTTAATTTAACATATTGCATAATATATTTATTAAAAAATTATTATTTTATAATATAAAATTAAAAACAAGCAATATTAAAGATGTAATTATATATATAAAATATAAAAACAAATTAAATCAATTATATTTATATTATATTATAATAATTAAATTAATAAAAATTAAAAAATACATTAAATAAAAAAATATATCAATCATTTTTCTAATTACTTGCAAGGAGCAAAACCAAGCACACTAACGTACGGATGATCTAATTTCAAGAAATATTTGAATTGACATTTAAACACATATCTATTTATATATATAGAATTA